TATATATAGACAGTACTTAAAACCATGACAGCACTGCCCCTTCTATTGGCTCCAGTTTGAAGCAATCCTTATCATCAAACATCTGTCTGGTCATTCAATTTTTAAATTAGTATATACTATAGTACCTTCTGAAACTTTATTTTCTAGGTATTTTATCTGATACTTTGGCTACAGATTAATTCACTTAATCAATTGACAAATGTTTGCCATGTATAATTTTGCTAGGCATTAAGAATCCAGCAGTCAATACAACTGTCCTGGAACTCACTCTAGACGGGGCTGGTCTCGAACTCACAGAGATCTGCCTGCCTCTGCCTCCTGAGTGCTGGGATTATAGCCTGAACAGGAATATGAATGTTAGTTGAGTGGTCACACAAATACAATATAAAGTTATAGACTGTGATACTGTGAAAGAAATTTTAAGAAGGAAAGCTAATGACATTAGGAGAGAGAAAGGAAACCACTTAAAATAAATATTAAGGGAAGTAAGTAATAAAGAAGAGGCCATGAATGGGGGGGGCACAGGAGAAGCAGGGCGGGGAGGGGGGTGAGAACGATGTAGATATGGTGCTCATGTACTAAGGTCTCAATAACAAGTTTAAAAAATACCAAACGCAAATTGTTAAAATGATAACCAAAAACAAACAAACAAGGAAAAATTACTATACACCTACTAGAAGCTGTCCAAACAATGACATCACCAAATCCAGGAAGGATGTAGAGCAACAGTAACTCTTGTTCATTGCTGCTGGGAATGCGAAATTACACAGCCAACTACAGAAGACAGCTTGGCAACTTCTTGAATGATTAAACATTCTCATACCATTACCACTCCCTTATTATTTCACACACTTGAAAGCAACACACTGTCGTTCAGTAGATGGATGGAGAAACTGCTGTGGACAGACGAAACAGAGTATTATGTAACATTGTCAAGGTTTGGATTTTAAGGGTTGCCCCCCTAAGGTTCCTGTTGAGGGATTGGTCCTTGGCTGGTGGTACCACTGGGATGTAGTAAGAAATGATGAGGTATGGCCTAATTGCCAGAAATAGGTCACTGGAGGTGCATCCTTGAAGGCTATATTGGTACACAGGTCCCTTCATCTCTTTCTCCTTGCTTCCTGGCAACCACAAAGCTGATAGCTTTCTTCTACCATGGTTTTCTACCAGAGTGGGCCCCATCACAGTCCCCAAAGTATGGTCATTTCACCTAATTAAACTGAACTTCTCAAACCATGGGCCAAAATAAAGTTCTCCCCCTTTATGTTTCTCTGATATTCTGTCACAGTGGCAAAATGTTATCTAACATAGCACTAAATCGCAATGAGTTATACAGCCATTAAAAGATCGAGAACAGGAACAAAGACATGGCTCAGTGGTTAAGAACACTTGTTGCTCTTATAGAAAATGCAGGTTCTGGAGGCTGGAGAGATGTCTCAGAGGTTAAGAGCACTGACTGCTCTTCCAGAGGTCCTGAGTTTCAATTCCCAGGAAACTCATGGTGGCTCACAACCATCTGTTATGAGATCTGGTGCCCTCTTCTGGTGTGCACATATACATGGAAGCAGAATGTTGTATACATAATAAATAAATAAAATCTTTTAAAAAAGATGCAGGTTCAGTTCCCAGCACCCACATGGCAGTTCACAATCTTCTGTAACTCCAGTTTCAAGGAGATCCGACACTCTTTCTTGGCTTCCAAGGAGCACCAGGAACACAGGTGGGACATACACATACAATGCAGGAAAAACAGCCATGCACATAATATAAAAATAAATAAATCTCTAAAAGACATAGAGGACACTTAAAGGAGCATCACTAAGTGAAAGAAGTCCATGTGAAAGAACACTATATAATTCCAATTATGATACTCTAGAAAAGGCATTACCATCGAGACAGCAAAAGTCTTGGTGGTTGCTAAGGGCTAGGAGGATTTTTAGGGCAATAAAACCATTCTTTATGATTCTCTAATGGCAGATATACGTTGTTAAACATTTGTCAAGATATACAAGGCCTTATCCAAATGGTAACATCCACTCTTCCTTTGACTCAGCTTAAATATCAACTCCACTATGAAGCTTTGGCAAAGCCTCTAAGTAAAGCTCTTTCTCCTCCATCCTCCTGCAGGTCTTTGATTATCCCTCTCATAGTACTTAGAACCTACTATAATGGTTTACTTTCAAACCAGTTTCTACTATAACATGAGCTTAAAAACAGAGACAGACTCATTCTTTATATCCCCAGCATCCAGGAAATAAAAAGCACACAACATGTGAATAAGTGCATGAGTGGATAACTATGAAGACCTTAACTCAGAGCACAGGGCCATATTGTAAGCCTTGGTTAACATTTTATCTGTAGAACCTTCCAAATGATCCACTTGCTTACTTGTTTCATATTCTGGAAAGAAGCACTGGCCTGATGTTTAGAAGCAGATGGCATTATGCTGACAAATGGCCTTGCAAAAACACAATGCACTTATTCTACTCCCATGAATGTATTTTAAGAGTCCAGTCTCGATTTCACAGTCACTTTCTCTTTTTCACTTTTTAGAGACACAACTTAGAGTTAGTTAGGAAAGAAGAGAGTAAATGAACACAAAGTCAAAATGATTCAGCCAATAAATACTTTAATGAGAACCAAGGTCTATAACATACATAACAGTAACTGTGCTGGTAGCCATCTGCTGAGGCCTGTTCTGGGGATAACCAACTACATTTAACCCACGTTTGAAAAGAAGGCCCTTTTGAATGTCACCCATCAGTATCCATCTTCACAGAAGACACCAATCTGGGGTTACACTCTCAATGTTAATACTTCTCTTCGGGAAGAGGTAACAAAAACGCATAAACAGCCTTAAGTCATCCTACTACTCTTCAGTTAGAGGGCCCTTGGGAGACAACTGGTTCTGTAAACACATAACATCTTTGTCAAAATACATTAGGAACACACAGGAGAACAGTAGAAAGAGTGGCAGGGCTGGGCTTAGATTTTCAGTTCTTAGATTTGAAGCCTCTTGAGCTGCTCGTATGTAATAAAAAACTGAAAAATGAGTCAGGGAAGATTTCTGAGTTCCCACTGAAAGTTAAAACTGTTTTGAAAATTATGCATTGATTTCTCTTAAATTAATGCACTTAGTCTAAAGGGGACTGGCTTCAAAAACTTAAGGTAAAATGTGTTGAGTGCCTACTATGTACCCATTATGATCAATGTGCTGAGCAATGAAAACAGATGATAATATAGTTATAGTTTTCAAAAGCAAACAGAACAAACACAATTCCAAAGAGAGATATTCTCTCTGTTCAGCCTACAGATTCCACAAGGACAGGGAATGATTTTTTCAACCCTGCCGAGTTCATATGTACACAGATAGACCCACACACAGTGACCCATACATGGCTCTATACATAGGAGGCACTCCAGCACAACTAAAGGAGAGAAATGCCCCCACAATAAAGAGTCCTACTTGGCTGTGGATTCTTTCACTCTGTGAATGCTTTGTGTCCTGCTAGTATTTTCCAGCTATTTAGGTCTCATAGTTAGATGTTAAGAAATCTAGACCACAACAGCAGAGTGTTTCCTATGAGCATCTTCTGTCACTATTGCTAAAAATTCCATAGCCCTTTTAAGACTGACTGGGCATGACATTTTACTTTATTACATTTATTTGCTTATTCATTTGTTTGGTTTTTTGTTTGTTTATTTGCTGGGGAAGGCATGCACTTGCCATGGCGTGCGTGCGTGCGTGCGTGCGTGCATGTGTGTGTCTGTGTGTAGTTCAGAGGACAACTTACAGGAGCCAATTTTCTCCTCTCATCAAGTCCCAGAGATTAAACTCAGGTCCCGGGTATGGAGGCGAGCACCTTTGCACACTGAGTCATCTTAGACATTTTGATTTAAACAGGAACATTTGAAACATCCTTTCTGTCCCTTTAAGTGTATATTTGCTTCCAAGGGAAAGTGTTTCTCTAACTTAGTTCCATTCACACTGGTTTCCAATGGGATGCTTGAGTTTTTTACTTGCCTATAAAGGATTTAATAATCAAAATTGTCTTCCCACAATCTAGAATTACCTGGGACTTTGAAGCACTGGCTTCCATTCTCAATTTACAAAAGGATACAATGATGTTCCAGGGTCCAAGTCGAAGCCAGTTTGGCCAAAATCCTTTATAGAGGGCAAAAAAGCCTTCATGTTTCCACATCTGAGGTAAAGACATAACCAAAAATAGTGAATTTCCCTTTCTTTTTACATTTGACAAGCACTTTCCATGCCCACTTTCACTATTATCTATGGCCTCTTTTCTGAAGATATACTTTATAGTTGAAATAATTTGTAGTCTAAATCCATCAAATCATTATTCCACAATTATTTACTGAGTACTCAACATACACAACACATACTTCTTAATTCTGCGAATATAATTGTAAATAAGAGCTGGTCAAGGCAGCACATGCCTATAATCTTAACACTCTAGAAGCAGAAGAAGTAAATCAGGAGTTCAAGGCTATCCTTAGCTATACAATGAATTTGAGACCAGCCTGGGCTACATGAGACTCTGTCTGAAAATCCCCTAAGTAAATGTAGTATGTCACAAACAAACAAAAAAGACAGGAGATAGGAGTTGTTGGGAAGTGGAAGGGAGTTTTGAGGGAGAGGGACAGGAATAAGAGAGGATAATGCAGGAAAATTGATCCAAGAACATTATATGAATATGTGCGATGAAACTGTGAATAATCATTGCACAGGCAGTGTATCTGCAGTAAGCAGAGATAGCTACATAAACTGATGGCACGCCTAAAGATCCCTATCGCCAGTTATCCACGACTTGTGTAATCCTCACATCAGAACATATAAGGACTATTGTGAGTCACCAGAAGAACATAGCAGAAATTAACACTACTAGGTTATTAAACATATTAGCTATATTATAAGGTATCTATCTCCTCTTCCTTTCTTGAATTATTCATTCTGAAGGAAACCAGTTGTCATAGCATGAAGAGAGGCCTACATCAGAGGGAGCTGAAGCATTTAACTAACACCGACAAGTCATCTTTGAAGCAGATCTGACAGCCCCAATCAAGCATTAATGATGACTGAAGCCCTGGCTGACATATAACCTCTTAGGTCTTCCTCTAGAATCATTCAATATGGCTGCTTTTCAATACCTGATCCCCGCAAACTGGCAAAGTATAACTGTTCTTTTCAAACCCTGAGTTTTCGAGTCATTTGTTACACAGGAGTAGATAGTTATTACATTCCATGCACCTATAGAATATATGTCCTAGTGTGAACAAGCAAATCGACATTGTTATAGACAGACAGATGTCGGTAGATATTATTATATGAATACATATTGTTACCCAGCAATGATAAAAGGAACGAAAAAAACCAAGGAAGGGAATAAGGACTTGAGAAAGTCACTTTCCTTCTCTGACTCCATTTTCCACTTTCAAAGTTATTGTGACTCGACGGTATATTTCATATGAATGCTGTGAGGACTACGTGTGGGGAACAACATGAATTGCTTTGCATCGCTGTGCCCTGATTTACATACTAGGAGGTCTCTATATACACCAAATGGTCTCAAGAACTGGATGACAAACTAAAGGTCAAAAGCTGATGCCATTTGCTGAATTCTGCCAAAAGGTAGTTTACATAATAGACAAATATCTATTAAGCAATGGCACCATGTTAGGTGTATTGTCAGACACTGAAAAATATAAAAATTCACTTCTGCTTTTTCATTAGTAAAGTGAATTTTACCACTGTTTTAAGAAGTGAATACATTTTAATAAGATAATGATGAACCTAGAAATAGGAGTCCTTATTAACCACTTGGGATGGGGAAGACAAAGAATAACACAGTAATGATACTACGGATGGGCAGCAACAGATAATATGCATTGGACCAATGGGCCGCCAGCAAATTCTGAAGGAGTCAAGCCAAAATTCACGTTTAAATTTTGAAAATGACTCAAAATAAAGCTGAGACACAGATAACCTAAGAATAAATAATTAAATGATAAGAGACCACAGAGATAATCTAATTATCATTGTCTCAATAACAATAAAATCCCAAATGATCTAAGATCTCCACCTACAAACTAAAATCAATCTTCAAGAATTAGAAATCAGACCATACATCTGACATTCCTACTTAAAAGTTCTCAGGTGGCTTTCACTTCAATTGTAAATTCTCTGCAACAATCCGCAGGATCCTACAGGATATAGACCCTGTCCCACTCTGCAGATTCACTTCCTACTACTTGCTCATTCATTCACCATACTCAGCCACACAATACGTATTTTTAACTCTAATATGTCAAACTCATTTCAATTCAGGCCCTTGATAATCTGCTCTTTCTTTAAGAAATGGTTTTCTCAAGATTTTCATGTGGCCAACTCCTTCCCATCATCCAAATTATCTATAAGCTTTTCTTAAGCATCCTAGCTGAAGGAACTCAAACTACCAAGTTGCTATTTCAATATGCTGTTATTTTCTTCATAGTGTTTACTTCTATCTGAAATTATTTGTCTATCTCTCTCAACTACAATATAACTTTCAATAGGGAATGAACAGTGTTTGCCTTGTTTACCTCTATATACCCACCACCTCATATCTCTTGGAACATTAAAGTTTTGTTGAATATAAATGCACACACACAAAAATAGTATGATGTTAGCCGGGTGGTGGCGGCGCACACCTTTAATCCCAGCACTCAGGAGGCAGAGGCAGGTGGATCTCTGTGAGTTCGAGCCCAGCCTGGTATGATGCTCTAACAGTTCTAAGACTCATCTGAATCTTTATAATTCTCCAGGACATTTGAAGAATCAGGTTATGTGTAAACAAATAAGAACTTCTGCAGGTAAACACAGATAACAGAGCTCTGTAATAAATATATCAAAATGTGAGTATCAATATATTAATATCTACCAGTACCTGTCTGTCTATATCAATTTGCACATTTGCTTGTCAATATCACTAGCACATACCTTCCATAAGATATGTATAAGTTATCTATTGCTCTGTAATAAATGAATACATTGATTTAATAAATAACTTGCCCTGGAAAAGTAATAAATGGAAACGTATGAAGCTCTGTTTTCATGAAACTTTACTGGGACAAACACTAAAAGCAATTCCAATAAAATTACTAAATAGGAATAAAATGTGATACTAAAGAACTATACATTTTATTACAGAAGTAGTGACAGAGTAATTCTCTGAAGGATACAGTTTGGCATAAGCCTTTACTGCAAAAAAAAAAAATTGTATAGTACTTTAGCATCCTAGGAAAGTAAAAAGGTTGTGAACTATTCTACCTCTCTGTTTGGTTGCATACCTATCTGTATGCTAATGATCCCAAGGACTCTTACCTATAACCACAAAATTACCCCAACTTAGGCCTAATATCTCCAAACACACATCAAACTAAGCATCAATACCTTGTCTGCTATAAAATCCGCTCTTTTAATTTTTTTATATGTATGGATGTTTGTCTGTGTACCACATGTGTGCCTTGTCCCAAAGCGGCCAGAAGATGGTGTTGGATCCCCTGGGACTGGAATTACAGATGGTCATATAACTGCCATGTAGGAGCTGGAAACTGAACCCAGGTCCTCTACAAGAGTGTAGTCAGTTTCTTAACTGCTGAACCCTGTTTATCTTATGATGTCTCCATCACTGAATGCTACCATCTGGTCACCAAATCCAAACCCAGGAAGTCATCTTTGACACCTCTCTACATCATTTCAACAAAACTATTGTTCTAATTATTCTCAACTAAATTATTTTTAATACTGTCCTGTCTTCTACACTTGCAGTCATATTGAGGCTCAGGCCTTCATCTTTTCTCACTCAGAGCACTACACAAGACTTTTCATCAACATCCTTATTTCCAGGTCAACCAGATCAGAATGAATACTACCTGGGAGCTTCCAGGAAATACAAATTCTCAGGTCCCACTTCTGACATGCTGAATTAATTTAGGTGATTCTGAAGCATGTCCAACTTAGAAGACCCACTCACTGTCCCACCCTCATCCCCTTAGATTAGTGATCTTCAACCTTGGATGAACACACAACCATTTGTGAAGTTCTAAAACTATTGATAACCCAGGCTCTGAGTTGACTGATCTAAGGCAAACAAGGGAGCTGTGAAATTAATGAGTGAGTCCAATGGTTACCTAAGATTGAGAACCACTATCTTAGGTCCTATTTCCACAAAGACAGAGTAATCTACTTACAATACAAATGGGACCTTATTAAAGCTATCAGTATCTCCAAGTGTCTCAGTACAACATTCAATACCCTTTAAAATCCAACCAACCTATAGCCACTAATATCAGGAAAGTGTCAAGTATATTAGTTAAGAATGCTTCCTTAAGCCAAAAAGTCTGAGTTTACTGCAGCATGCCTACTTGTTAACTATGAAACTCTAAGGAAGGTGATCCTTCAGTGCTTCAATATCTATCTCATGGGGTAATGAGGAGGTAAATTAAATGACTGAATACGTGTAAAGTCTCATTAGAACATCTCCTGCCATACAATAAAGCATTCAACAGGTGTGAGTTATTATTCAATTTACTAACATCCCCAGAGAACTTATTTCAAATGTCCCAAGTATGTGCTATAATTTCCTACCATAGATTTCTGAGTTTTAGCATTTATTAGGCTGTATTGATCATCTATTTGTAACTGTCAGTACTTTAGTAATGGCTATAATTTCCCTTTAGCTATTACAATAAGGCCCCATAAATAACAAGTAGCTGATAACTATTGATAACAGCAGAAAAACCATATGGCCCCTTCACATTTTGTCCCTGAATTTGTTTTTATAGCAGTAATGTAACCAATACTTCTGTATACATTTATGATATTCAACCCCAACATCAAAGCAAAATGTGATCAATAGAACAACCTGGAATTTAAATCAGGTGCTGGGTTTTAAGGTTTCCTAAGTACCAGGCTTTCTACTACAGAGTCTCTCTCTTATTTGAGGTGGGCAATCATGGGGCATAGTAAATTCTATTAATTTTTTTATGTGTATAGGTATCTTGTCTGTCTATGAAGGCCAGAAGAGGGTGTTGGATCCCCTGACGTTATAGAGTTGTGAGGTATCAAGTGGGTGCTGGGAATTGAACACAAGGTCTTTAATGAGCTGTCTCTCCAGCCTCCTAATTAAAAAATAGTATTTCATATATAAGTACTCATTTACATCATTTTCACCCCCCTGCTCCCCTACCAACTTCCCCTTCCATGACCTTGAATATATTAAATCTTGATATTAATAATTCTACGTAGTGCTATTAATGTATCCCATATTTTCAAGCATTCGAATTGGAATACTATTAAGAAGCACTATGCATTAGCAAATTGCCTAGGAGACAGGTTATTTGCCTTTGAATGATTCTCAGAAGCTACTAAAAACACACATAATGGTTGTTTAATGTTTAGAATATGCAGTAAGAAGAATAAAGACTGAAAAAGATCTCAAACATCAAAGAAAACAGACACTGTAACCCAAATCCACAGTATACATACCTTTAAAATACCATCCAAAGTACCCTTGTAGAGGTCCACATGTCCCACTATTGCCCTCTGATTCATCATGCGCGTTCTCACCACGTCAACTGGGTTAGATGCCAAAGCCCCAGCCAAACCACAGGTAAAGCTAGAACTAAAGGTGAAAACTAATTTAAGAAGGTAGATTATCCGTACTTCCACCACTTGCCCACTTAAACAGAATTTAAACCAAATGCAAAAAGTATAATAACTCAGATCCATTAGACCAAACCCTAACCCTTCATTATAATCTAAAGAGAAAGAAAATCCTTCCTAATGAAAGGTTGTCCCTTTCATTTTCATTCTAAAACTCGGCCTCTTCTATAGAGGACATAGTCCATAGACCTAACAACATCCCTAAGGAGGAGGTGTTCTGTGTCATTAATAAGTTACATAAAATTTTCTGAGCACAGCATCACATACCAAATGCATTTAAGTAGCAGAATATCATAGAGAAATTTCCCTTCTGATAAGTGGGGGAAGGCAAGAAAAACAATGTGCTTATAAGAAGTGAAGGGTGATGGAACTGGTGCAGGGTGCAGCTCGGCGCACAGTGTTTGCTTAGCAAGCATGAAGCCCTGGCATTGATCCCTAGCACCGCAGAAACAGGTTGTGCTAGTGCACACTGCACATCTGTAACCCTAGCACTCTGGAAGTAAAGACAGGAGGATCAGAAATTCAAAGTAATCCTTGGCTAAACAGTGGATCTGAGGCCGGTCTGAGATATATGAGTGCAGTGACATATTATTTATGATTTATTAAAGCTTGACTAGGGATTTAGAAAAGCAAAGCAGCTGGCCACTAGCTCTTACCTCTACCTCAGACTGAAAGGGCTGATCTTGTCTCCAAGAGCTCTCACCAAGCCTCAGACTGCTGCCTCTCCTAAGTGTGGCTGGGGAATGAATGTTCCTATCTTTTTTTTTAAGATTTTATTTATTTTGTATACAACATTCTGCTTCCATGTATATCTGTACACCAGAAGAGGGCATCAGATCTCGTAAGGGATGGTTGTGAGCCACCATATGGATGCTGGGAATTGAACTCAGGACCTCTGGAAGAGCAGCCAGTGCTCTTAACCTTTAAGCCATCTCTCCAGCCCGAATGTTCCTATCTTAAGTGTGGCTGGGGAATGAATGCTTCATACTGACTCCTTGCTCCTGTCTCTTATACCCTCTGGTGCTGGGATTAAAAGTGTGAGCTATAATTCTCTTTTAGATTGATTCAATCTTGTGGAGATCTAGGTGGCCTTGGACTCCCAGAGATCTGTGTACCACCACCTCCTAGCTAATGGTTGCTAGAATTAAAGGTGTGTATCACCACTGCCTGATCTCTATAGCCTGAGGCTGACTTTGCTTTTCCGAATACACAGTCGAGCTTTAATAAATCATAAATATCACTACATATGAGACCTTTCTTCTAAAGAGAGAAAGTAAATAAACTACAAGCTGTCTAAGAATATCTATCATACAAGCCAGGTGATGGTGTTATTACACACCTCTAATCCCAGCACTCGGGAGGCAGAGTCAGGAGTTTAAAGCCAGCCTGGTCTACAGAGCTAGTTCTAGGACAGCCAGGACTACACAGAGAAACCCTGTCTTGAAAAAACAAAACAAAACAAAAAGAGTATCATACAAACATCTAGTAAGTTTCTATACTATATACAGCTCCCAAGTGGTCAGGTGTCCACAGCATCTGAGGGTCAGTGTGGGTAATGTGTAGGGGAAAATATAATCAAAGTACTTCATATGCATGTTATGAATATGAGCATGTTATGTTATTACATAATACAAATACAAGAAAATGTCATACTGAAACACATAATCTTCTATAATGAATATACACTAATTAAATAATGAGAAAAGTAAAATAATAGTAAACGCCACAATAAAACCCACTATTTTATGTAATACATAGCAATTAATTTAAAAGTATAAAATATTCAGAAGGCTTTAAGTATTGTCCATAGAAGACAAGTATTAAGGCCATGCATATCATTTATAAATCTACCTGAGGATATCAGTAAAAGAGGCTTTTTATGTTCAATCTGTTGAATACAGAACAAATCAACCACAGCTCACTTACACAAAGTGTGTTAAAATGGTGTCTCCGAGCATTCCTGACAGTATCAGATGCTTCTTGGTAATATCATAAACTGGCAGCTCTACCCCCACAACGATGGCAGCACGCTGAGCAGTTGGGACCACACCCTGCAAAACCAAAGTGATACCAGACACATGAGAAATACTGAGAGTGACATATATCTTAAAGTGAACAAAAATTGGTCAATGGTAGATACTGCCAGAAAACTAAATTCAGAAATGTATAGTTCATCCTTTCAACTCAGTGACTAACAAACACTGGGATGTTTATAATTCCCAATCTACATGCTGTAATACAAATGAAACCATTTATAACACCTAAAGCACAGGAGACAAAAGAAAACTAGATAAAAGACGTTAAGTTGGATTCCACCATAATTTAAAGTTTGCAATTTAAAAGATACCAAGAAGTGAGTAAGGAAATAACCTACACAATGGAGAAATACTTGAAAATCATAAAGAATTCAGTCATTAGAAAAATGTACATCAACACCATAATGACAGTCAGGCAGTGGTGGCACACGCCTTTAATCTCAGCGCTTGGGAAGCAGAGGCAGGTAGATCTCTAAATTTGAGGCCAGCTTGTAGTTCCAGGACAACCAGGCCTACACATAGAAATCTTGTTTTGAAAAAAAAAATCTCACAATGACATGCCATTTCTTTCATACCTAGTGTGGTCATTTTTAAGTAAAATAGTAAGTGTTGGTAAAGATGTGAGGAAATTGGAACCCTTCCACTGCTGATAAATATATAAAATGGAACACAAACATGGTAAACAATTTGGTATCTCCTCAAAACATTAAACATAAAATTATCAGAATACCTGGCAATTCCATGCTTAGATATATACCCAAGCAAACTGAAAGCACATTTTCTTTGTTGTTGTTGTTTTGTTGTTGTTGTTGTTTTTCAAGACAGGTTTTCTCTTTTTAGCCATGGCTGTCCTGTCCTGGAACTCACTCTGTAGACCAGGCTGGCACTGACATCACAGAGATCCCACCTGCCTCTGCCTCCAGAATGCTGGGATTAAAGGCCTAAAAACACATTTTCATGCAAAAGTGTACATGGTAATGCTCACAGCAATAGCTAGCGCATTATTGAAAAGTACAAAATAATCCAAATGCTCATTATTTAATAAACAGATAAAGGAAAAATACAGCATATCTCCCAAATGGGATTGTTATTTGGCCATAAAAATGAAGTGACATATTGGAACGTGGGGTTTAGCTCAGTGACAGTATTTGCTTAGAAAGAGAGGAGGGGCCGGGTGTCGGTGGCGCACGCCTTTAATCCCAGCACTCAAGAGGCAGAGGCAGGCAGATCTTTGTGAGTTCGAGGCCAGCCCACTCTCCTGAGCGAGTGCCAGGATAGGCTCCAAAGCTACACAGAGAAACCCTGTCTCGAGAAAAAAAAAATTCCAAACCCAGTGCTCATTCAATTCCCCATTCCTTCAGTACATCCCAATATGACTTGGGGTCGCAGGATAAAACAGCTGGAAGAAAATGGATCAAAAACACTCCTCTTCATTTTACTGAGTAGAAGCCGCTACCATTCTGACACTGGTTCTGTAGTTGGCCTGAGGAGGGCGCTTCAAACAGAGCAGAGAGGAGCCGACTTCAAAACTATTCATCAATTCAGAAATGGAAGTAAGAATTTCCCAGACATAGCCGGGCGTTGGTGGCACAAGCCTTTAATCCCAGCACTCGGGGAGGCAGAGGCAGGCAGATCTCTG